TTCTGGAATTTAATTATAATAATATATAGAACCTGAACTTCCCCAAAGTCAAAAGAAAAATTACGACTGCACCCGAGTGCTTAGGGGAGCAGGCGCTCATGTTTCACGGGAAGCAGAAAAGGCGAGTTTCGGAATGAAAAACGACTCCGCAGGCTCTGCGGCTCTAAGACTTTGTCTGTGTCGCCACCCCCATCCCACCCAAGTTTCCCGTTTCTTAAATCAAGCTCAGGAGATGCTGTAAATTGATACAGACAGAGCCTAAACATTGTGGATGCCTTTAAAACACTTTGTAGGAGGGAAAAAAATCTCCCGAATAACTATGTATTTTTGCTAGCAAATGAACCGTCCAATTTTATGACAAATAGGAGACGGGCTGAATATATTAATGTGAGATCAGCCCCACGGCCATTTTAATAGCAAAAAAGTCGCCGGAGCTTATTTAGATAAGCCCGTTCTCTAGGTAATGATCATACAATACAAAATAGTTTTCATTTCCCACCCAGCTCCTCACACATCTGTGTTCTTCAGAAGCCCCCTCCACAGGAAGACTGAGATCAAACATCAATATTACAAGAAGGTAATTCCTTAACGATTGAAATATTTTCAATGTTCTGTTTTCTCACTTATTTCAAAGCAATAGCTAATGCAGAACAAAATGGAAGAGAAGACCTTGCTATTTTAAGGTCATGGGTGTTGAGGACAATGGTCTTCTTGGTCCGAGCTGGCGTGCCCCTGGATAACTTTGTGCGCTTCCTCTTCCCGTGTCTGAACCCACGCACGCCCATTCAGGGCCTTTTCCAATGAAACACGGACTGAGGTCTGAACTGCCAACCTTTTCCCTTGTCCCCGTTTTCTCCCTGAAGATGATCAAATATAACACTTGCCCATTTCTAACGTGAGCACCCGCGCCCACACAGGCACGCACAGCCCGTCTGCGCTCTGTGACCCCGCAGAGCGGCTGCGTTTTACCCTCCCCTCTCCCAGCAGATTCTGTGAAAAACACTGTCCATTCGGGCTGGGCCACATGGTCGCTGAAGCCTGCACAGACCACAGGGAGACGGGAGGACATGTGAGCACAGTTATAAACGTCCCCGTATGGAACCAGGCTAAACAGAGGGCTTAGCAGCCGCCCCGGAGAAGAGACACACTGAGAGCCAAGCCCTGAGCACGTGAGCCGCGCCCGGCGTGTGGCCTGGGGTCCCGGAGCCCTGAAGGCCCCCAGCACGGGAGGGGTGGCGTTTAGTGAGTGCGACCCCAAGGGAAGGCGGAGGGGAGAGCTGGGAGTCCTGATCTGCCTGTAGGTCCGGGACAGGACGCGAGCTCCCCGGGTGCCTGTGGCCTCGGTGGGAATGACATGAGGGACAGCAGTGACGTCTCTGAGGAGAGCGTGCGGGACGGGACGTATCTTCTCGGGGGGTCGCTGCTCCTCCTGATGGCCCTGGGTGCCCTTTGCTGAAATCACACGTAAATGTTCACTGATGGAGCTAGAGGTGACTGTCCCCGGGAGCCGGCGCAGAGCAGCGACTCAAAGGCTACTCACGGCCTCCGTCACTCGGGAAAGGAGTCACGGACGCCGCGGGGACAGTGCTGAGCGACTGGTCATCAGGGACTTCCGCTTTCATGAAGGGAGTGGCCAGACCCTTTTGTCCATGGCAGGTGGGCAGGGTTGAAGGAATTTGGGCAAAAAACAGGGCACTCAGCCACACGTACCACCCCAGGGAGAACGCTGAGCCCCTGTAAGTTAGTCCCTCGTCTCTAGAAAATAGCGGCATGCTGGCACGGCTTAATCTCCCTCTCCCTCACCTGTTGTCTCTCTCCATCCACTGCCGGACTCTGTCTGTCTCTCTGTCTGTCCACTTCCTCTGCACAGGTCGGTGAGAGAGGCTGGGCCCCAACTTTCCCACTCAACGCGGCACACAGCGAACGCCACGTCCCACACAGTCTGGGATGTGTGAGGACAAGGGAGCACGTCTACGCTCAAAGGAAATAGAAACCTAATGACGTGGGTGGGAGAGGGACACGGTCGGTGGGGTACAGGGGGGATGTGTTCAGGGGGTTAGATGACAGGAGAGGGATGAAGGATGGGGTACAGGGAGGATGTTTTCGGTGGGTGAGGAGGTGGGAAGACAGTGGCTCAGGCAGCAGCCTCGGGCGTGTTCCCCAGGAGCCCACCTCCCGGTGCTCACGCGGTTCCCTTCCACGCACCGGTGGCCTGACCCGTGTCGCAGGGGAAACGCAGACACAGGACCGTGATTTCCAGAACTGGGTGGGCACACCACAGCCGCTTCTGCCTGTGCTGCGGGATGAAATTGAAGGGCATGTTTTGCAGGGCCACCTGCTCTCAGGACAGTGAGAGCCACGGTCAAGGCCTCAGGCAACCAGGGGGAGGCCCCGTGGCGGGAGCTGAGCCCTGGCCCACGGCCAAGTAAACACAAATGCGTGCATGGGGCCAGCCGTGGCCGAGCAGCTGGGCGCCGGCCCTGAACCAGGCGCTCACGGTCCGATTCCCAGTTGAGGCCTGTGCCCGGGTTGCGGATGGATCTCTGGAGGCAGCCAAGCGATGATTCTCTCTCATCATTGATGTTTCTCTCTCTCTCACTCTCCCTTTTTCTCTGAAACCAATAAAAATATATTTAAAAATACATGCTTAGGGAGGGCAGAGTCTTCCAAAACAGCACGGAAAGCAATGCAAGTGAGAAGGAAAAGCATCAAATGCAAATCACGGAGGAGATAAAGGTAGGATCTCCTCGCAGGTGGAGAAAGTCCTTCAGTTTCCCGACCCGACGTGACCCTGGACCATCCACACGTTGTCCCCACGGTGTTTGTGCCACAGAATACAGACGTCCCCAGTGAGCCACCCCCCACGCTCTCTGCAAGCGCCCCTCCCCCCGCCACCTCCCCAGCGTCCCCTCCCCCCCTCCGCTGGGAGCCACCTCCCCACGCTCTCTGCAAGCGCGGTCCCAGAGTGGCCAGGGCTCCCGGGGTTTAGTAGAGCCTTCGATTAGATAAGAATCATTCGAGGCGGAAAACCACACCATTAAGTCACTTGACTTTATCTTCTTAGCAACTGTCACTTCAAATCCCTTTCATTAGAGACAGCTGCTAAACAGCAGATCAATGGCTGAAAGCTCAGCAACCACAGGCGTCTCCTTTCATCTGCACTGAGCGACGTCACCCGCCAACCCCCAGCGCACGGCTGACACGCCGCGGGGACCACGGTCACCCCAAGTCCTGGAGTCCATTCATGAGCGGAGTCAGCCAGGGGAGCAAGCCTGCCTCGTGGAGGCCGAGCCGCCGCTGTCCTGACCGATGGACTCGACCCTCAGGATTGAAAGCAGCTCTGACAGCCCAATGGCCTCAGGACTCCCAGCAGCCGCGTTCCCATCCCGAAGCAAGTGCGCCTGCCCCTCGCCTGCGGGAATCGGGGCCCTGTGAACCCTGCGAACGACCTGACCGCTGTGGGCCCGCCCCGTCCCGGGTGGGCTCGCGGCCTCGGGGCCCCACGCGCCCACTTGCTGCACAAGAAGGGCCGCCTGTGCCCGGAGCTCAGCCGCGAAGCCCCGATGTCCGCGCACAGCGACACCCAGGAAAGGCTCTGCGCACTGGAATGAACAGCGACACCCGGGAAAGGCTCTGTCGCTTCACTGGTCCGTTCTCCCGGGACTTCTGAACAAGGCGGCCAGCCAGGCCCTGTCCTGTCACGGTGACTCGGTGAGCATGACTGTCCCTCCCTCCCCGCAGGGGGTCAAGGCTCTGTGGGGGGTCACGGCTCTGTGGGAGGGTCATGGCTCTGTGGGGGTCACGGCTCTGTGGGGGGAAGACAGGTCAGGGGCTCACAGTGTAGGAAGTGCTACCGAAAGGGTGGGGTTCGACACCCCTCACCCATCTCTGGGGTTCATGGAAGGGGTCCCCGGATAGCTCCTGGCTCAGTGCACTCGTTCCACAGGGAGAGAAGGTGGTAGACAAATGCCACGGCTTCCCTTGTCTACAAAGCTTTAGCTAAGATATTACATCAAACGACGTGGTGCATACCTCACAGAAAAAACGATGAAGAACATGGAAACTCTCTGGCTCCCTTCCTAATGGATCTCCATCCATCGGGGGCACGAACCGCCACTGACTCCAGAGAATGTCTGACCTCAGCATTTGCCCAAATTCTTTTTTAAAAGTGAAAATGCGGGGAGCTAGGTGGCCAGCGCTTTGGAGTCATTCACACAAGGACTCGGTGTAGCGACGGCATTGACACCAGGCTGACGCTGCCGAGCAGCTGCAGGTGGCGGGCAGATCTTAACGACACCCCTGTCGCCCGTCACACAGTGACATGAGCAGCTCCAAAGGGGATGTGGCCACGAGAGGAAAACGCCTCTGGTGGAAACGGTCACTTCACTCATCACCCAGCCGCACAGTCACTGCAGGGCCCACAGCGATCGTGACAAGAACAGGCACTCCCGCGGGTGAGGTCAGAGCGCGGTCTGTCCGCACTGCCAGCCGCTCAGCTCAGGAGAGGGGGGCTCTCGCCCCGCACAGACCTCTTCCCGGGCCACGTCCCTCGCGTGGCGCTGCCGTGTGGCGCCCGCGACG